ACTCTGCCACAGCAGGTCATAATCGCATGACATCAGATGTATCCGGTGTAACTGAAAGCGACGGTAAACCCACTCGCGTAACATCCGATGTTTCTGGCGTCTCTGAGGGCGATGCCTTAGCACTCCGACATACGGCCATCCCCGTAAGTCCAAGGACCGACGATGCCAGCTTGCCCTCGCCGCCACTTCCTGGGATGATGGAGGATATTCTTCCCTCTCCTCCTGCAGACCCAACACCCAATTCACCTACTGGTGAAGGGCCAGTATCCCCTGCACCAGTGTCTCCTCCCAGTGCGAACGAGGCTCCTGGTCGGGACTACATCACAGCCAAGGCCTCAGCAAGCCCTATCCGGAAGAGTATGTTTAAGGAAAGTGATGAGGACATGGGCCATTCTAAATAGATGATTTAATGTGAGATAAAATCGGAGGATGGCGTTTGAAATGTTGTGGTTTATGATGGAGCGTATGGGCATACATATCAATATTGGGCGGCAGGACATTCTTTCACGGGCTTAGCATTTTGGGGGTACGATACCCTGGTTCAGGTTCATGGCGGACTACACTCGTTTTGTTGCAAAACATTCAATGTCTATAACGTTACTATTGAGCACCTATATTCATAATATCCAATCCATATGAATGAGCCCTCTGGTGTCGACCCTTTCCTCTGATTTGACCCTGTGATGCCTTTCCAAATTCAAGGCATTTCTTTTCCTTTCCATGCACAAACAACACCAATTCATTTTAGCTTTGGAGAATCTGGTTAAACCTCAACGAGTTGGTCATCCTCGTCCTCGACCTCTTCCACCCGTCCATTGGTAGCCTCGGGTTTGTCCTTGATGGCCTTAACATCATTCTCTGCTTTGCCCTCGTCTTCTTCATCTCGTGCCAATACCTGTACCAGGCGCTCACAAGCTTCTTGAACACCTTCGTCGTTGACTCGTGAATGTGTCTCGCGAATGACAGGATAAACCTTGACACGACGCATAAGATCTCGTCCTTCTCGTGTTGTTGTCAATAGTGTGAGTGTCTCAACATGTGTCTGCACATTCTGGTTGTCTGAGTCTCGCTTCTTATCAGGAGGTAGTAGTTGGAGATCAGGCAACATATCCATCGTCTCATCAACATCGTACTCCTCGTTACCCATGATAGGGAGCAGGATATAAGGTAGGATGTCGATCTCATCCTCAGACAAGAATGAAGGATGGGATGAAACCTCAAAGGCAATGTTTTTGATAGTGCTCGCAACACCCTTTCGTCGAATATCGGACTTGTGCTCAGTGAAGACCTTGAGCTTGGTAATGGGAATGACCTTGTCATAAGATTGCTCTTCAAGGAAGTGCTTTCGAATGTCGGCGTGCTTGGAGAGATCGGCAAAGACGTAGGCTAGATAGTCAAAGTCCGCATTCTTGTTGTATGTGCCGTCTTGTCCCTTGACGAACAGATCTAGCAGTTGGTTGAGGACAACCTCATCTGAGCCTAGTTCCTTTGGAGGTTCTTGCTTTCGCTTGAGAAAATCTTTCAAGCCATCCCACTTGGAAAGGTTGGCAACAAGCATTGCTAATAAGTTGGCATTGGGCTCTTCAGGGTTCTAAACGCCGGGTCAGCGACTGATATCCAGCTTCTTGAACTTTTGAACATACCACTATAAGATCAAAGACAATTCCGAGGAACTTCTCGTCTTTGGCAAGAAATTCGAGAACCTCTTGGTCACTCGATAAGTTGACCAGCATTGTGATGGCATGTTCGGCAATTTTCTGATATATCGTTAGTCTCAGAGATACACTTTGCATTCTTACAGGCCCGACTTACAGGATGATCCCGAACCAAGAAACTGAGATGTTTGACTGGTTGAAGCCTCTCGGCTTTGAAGATGCTGGGTTCTGACAATGAGTAAGGGACAAGGTTCTCAGCAGCAAGCAGACGAATCTGAGCGTTGGGGTTGGCGATGAAGCCCACGAGCTACAGTTGATATATGTTAGCCGAAGACTCTTCTGACGGTATTTAGACGAAGTACCTCTTCTAGTTCAGTTGGCATATTGTCTGTGTCTTATTATCTCCAATACGTGTTGTTGAAGTGAATTTTTAGAGTTGGTGTTGATTTTGGAGGGGCATCAGAGTAGTTGGGGTTAGAGGCCTGAAGTCATCGCTGCTTCAGCAGGACCGGGCGACATTTTTAGTGGTCAGTAAGTGAATTTTCAGTTGGACCCACATGCTGAAGAAGTTTCCAAGGGTCTCTTTTTGTGTCATCATGGTGGCGGGGCAAAATCAGCCTGGTTTATCATATTTTTCAAGAACAAGACAAGGCTGTTAGAAGTTTTGGCTAATTTCTTAGCCAGAGGCATAAGTGGTATCATGTCTGACATATTCTGAACTATCTTATTTCACAATCAGGAAATACACAACTTCGTTTTATACTAGCAAGAGAACAATGTACTAAAGGAAGACAAGAGATAGAAAGCAAGCAATAACACGGTACAAGGCATAATATACGTGACTAAAAACAAAGAAAAGCATGTATAGATCGATTCACTAAGAGCGTTTTTCTGCCTTCTCAGGTTGAATTACAATGATATCCAATTCATAGGTAACTTCTCAACCGAAAGCCGTGAACCACCTTTGTGAGCCGATACAACGCACTAGGCGAATTCGAGCAAGAGGGGTCCTTATCGATAAGGCAAAAATTTTGAAATTCTACCTAGTTAAACTGCGACTCCAAGCCCACATTGTGTGCCATCTCCAAGTCAAGACGCCCAAAATGCCTAAAGCCACTACTCCCTCTGCCTCGCGGCAGACACGACGACACAACCCTCTCGAGGATGACATCACAGCCACTGGCATCCTCAAGAACAAGCCCTCAAAGAAGCGATCAAAGGGCGGCGACAATGAGGAGGAAAACTTTGTCGACGACCGCGCTTCCAGAACCATTCTGCGCATAGGTCGTGAGCTGGCCGAGGAGGAAAATGCTGGCAAGGCTGTCGCTAAACCCACCATTGACACTTTTGGCTACGACTCGCGATTTGACGACGAGGCTGAGGGGGAGAACAAGGTTTATGAGGACGATGAGGCTTGGGGCGAGGATGATGAAGTTGTGGAAGAGATCGAGGTTGACCCCAATGACCTTGACATGTACCGAAAGTTCATGCCCGATGAGGAGGATGACCTATTGAAGCACGGTTGGGATCTGAAGCCAACAGGAGAGGAGCAAGGCGAGAGCGTCAACCTTGCAGATCTTATCTTGGAGAAGATTGCTGCTCACGAGGCGGCGCAAGAGAGGCGAGAGAATAACCTGGGACCTCCCGATGAGGACGAATACGAGCTCCCTCCCAAGGTTATCGAGGTTTACACCAAGTAAGTTCCCAATTGGAACCTGAAATGACAGCATAAGCTAACGATCACAGGGTTGGCCAAATTCTCTCTCGATACAAGTCCGGACCTCTGCCAAAGCCTTTCAAGATTCTCCCCACAATCCCCCACTGGGAAGACATCATCGCTGTCACCGAGCCCGACAAGTGGTCTACCAATGCCTGCTACCAGGCGACACGAATTTTCGTTTCCAGCAAGCCCCACGTCGTTCAGCGATTCCTGGAAATGGTTATCCTCGACCGCGTTCGCGAAGATATCTACGAAACCAAGAAGCTCAACGTCCACTTGTTCAACTCGCTCAAGAAGGCTCTTTATAAGCCTGCTGCTTTCTTCAAGGGGTTCTTGTTCCCTCTAGTTGGCAGTGGAACATGCACCCTCCGCGAGGCTCATATTATTTCCGCCGTCTTGACTAGAATTTCCATCCCTGTCCTTCACTCTGCTGCGGCTCTGAAGGGTCTATGCGATATTGCCGCCCAGGAGGCGTCTCATGGAACCGAGGGTGGAGGTGCCACCAATATCTTCATCAAGGCCCTCCTTGAGAAGAAGTATGCTCTCCCTTTCCAGGTTATTGATGCCCTGGTTTTCCACTTTCTGCGATTCCGCAGTGTCGACCCTGCCTCTGTTCAGGTTGGCGACGCTATGTCAGGTTTGGCCGAGGGAGATGCCAGAACAAAGCTGCCCGTTATCTGGCACCAGAGTCTGCTCGCATTTGCTCAGCGTTATAAGGGCGATGTCACAGAAGATCAGCGTGAGGCCCTTCTGGATCTTCTCCTCACACATGGTCACCCAGCTATCGGACCTGAGGTGAGGAGAGAGTTGTTGGCTGGACGAGGCCGTGGTGTGCCGCTGGAGCCCCAAGGCCCAGCGTTGGACGGTGATGACACTATGCTCATTGACTAATGGGACTGATGTTATCGATCGATGGCTTTCTAATGAATCAAGACAAATTTGGCGTATGGCGTATTAAAATGGTTTCAAGCTGGTTCGACTTGAGTGGAGATAGAATTGAGTCTGTTGGAGACAAGAAGCCCATCTCGATACCAATTATATGATTCTTTTGTTCGATCTTTGTTCCTTGATAAATATTATCGTGCACTTTCCGCCACTGCTACGTGCCTTCCCTTACATCAGTGAGCGTTCTTGTTACCCAATTGGGCTGCCATGAGCCCGCCATTCACAGCATGTGGAAGGAGCAGTGACAGCGACTGCGATGCACCTCTAGAAGGTAGCGGAACTCCTTCTCACAATCTGATACTCTGATCCTACATCCTCCTAAGTTTCTCCCTATGGACCAACGCTCCTCACTATCCTACGATATATGTGCTATGTTCTCTATCTCAACCCCCTAGTTGCTGTTTCAAGCCATTATAGAATTCTTTTCTAGCATCAATCCGTTTTACCACAACATTGTCGCCCCGAAGTTAAGTCTATCATCTTGACCGAAGGGCGACCTCGCCCGAACAGTGCTACTCCAAATTTAACATGCCGGCGCAGTCTCGTTCAGACCCATCGTTGCCAACAAGTCGTTATAATATGAACGAGCCCAAGTACGATACCGCAACATGAGACTCCCAACAGTTATACTGACAGCTCTAGTTACTTCAGTGTTCCTCATGGAACGCCCGCATCTCCCGCGGCGTTTACGGCATCCAAACCAAAATATGAAAACCTAATGAAACACCACCCGAGCCTTCCTTCAATGCCGGAGAATATGTTCTCGGCTCCTCTACCTTCGAATAGTACTACGCCTCGACCGACATATCGACAATCTGCATCATCCTCAAGTTTCGGCGTTGATCCTCCACGGCCTCCTCGCGACGGGTTCGAGTAGGTCTGGTTCCCTCAAGGATACTGGGCAGAACGCCAACTTATGGTACCACGGAAGAGCACTTCTAGGAAAAGCTTCTTCAAGTGGAGGAATCGCTTGACAAAGTCCGCCAGTGAATCAGACGTTCGAGACCTCTCATTCGCATCTCCTTTAACATCCCTTTCAGCGCCACTTAACTTCCAGGGTTTTGAACCAACGCAGCCAAGACCACCTTCCAGTCCCTTTGTGTCGGAATCGGCGCACGTTTTCTCTTTACAGCATCCTGCCGTCACGCGCTTCTCAGCTCAGTTTCCAGATTCCAGCGATATCCCCCCCAGCAAGAACAGCACAGACTCGATCTCGCCAATGAATAACTCTGGCACAAACGTGCGGCTGAGTACTCCTCCCTCTTCGCCCCCGAGTTCCATGGGCTTTTATGTCAAAGCAAAGAAGAGTCTCGAATCAAAGCTGAAATTGAAGGCTCGCAGAGAGGTAAGTTCTTTTCGTAGTCAAACAAATGGATCGACGCTAATCTTGACAAGGAACCAATGTGTCCAGCTATCCCACAACATGTCCATCAATGTGCGACAATGGATGGCGCAGGGAACTACTCAAGCATGCTCCAAATCACTAAAACAGATTCCTGTCTCAAAGACGATGTAGTGAAACCCAAGCTCCGAAGAAGACTCTTTGGCAGGGCACCATGGGCCCGCAAGGAATCAGCAGATTCTTCCAGCAGCGTAACCAGCTCTGTCAGGGAGATACTTAAAGGTGAGACTCCTCCTCCCTCAGCAGTCTCAAGTTATACTTCTTGTATGTTATTTACAGCATATAAGACATCTGAGAAACCGATGCTAATATTCAAGCAGTAAATGTCAACTATGTTAATGGCCAGTTTCCTGGAGGGGTATGTTCCTATGAGGCGATCTTGGCATCGCCAGATACTAACTGTTTTCCTTTTCCAGGAGGCAAGACGAATAAAGACACCACCTCTGGCCGAAGACACTACGAGCGGCCGGCCACGTTCATTCTTCACTGAGACCGTTCCTCCAACAGAAGACGACCAAATGGGCCCTTCGTCAAGAAGGAACTCTTTACAAACGGTTCGTCACCAGAGCATCGTCGCTGACACATACGAGTGGTGGGAAAAGATGCCCAAGAACCCCGTTCGCAGGAGTTTTTTTCAAGAACGAATTCCTTTTGAATTTCAGCTACCGGAACATCTCCCCAGCAGCCCAATGTGCCCGACCAACGAGAAACATGTCAGCGGTGGAACCGGTACCTGTGTTTACCATGGACGCAGGAAGGGTGCATCTAGATTAGTGCCAGTGTGATTCGAATCACCGTGGGAAGGAAACCTGGAAGAGTAAGCGACCATGCCTTGGGCATGGAAAGGTTGTTGGTTTGGAGTATCGTCGGCCTCAACTCCTGTTCCTCTGACTTGTGTATACTGCTTTATTCTTGTATTGGCTTAATGATGAATCGAGTAATACAATCAATAGCAAGACGGGACACGTAATTTGTAATCGAGTTGGTAATACCACTCTTATTTAGTGCTCCCATTTTGAATATTTGCATTGATTGAAGGTATCGAGTGATGATAGTCTTCTCTATAGAATTCTCCAGTTTATTCTGATTCTTTGAGTCTATATTGATAGCTTATGAAATTCTTCCGGTTTGATTCCAAACTCCGACTCCCCTGGATCGGATAGATGTTGCTCCAAACACACATCGCTCTCCAAGAATCACTGAGTTATCTAGACGGAAGACCTGACTTGGGTGTTTGGTGCTCCTTTATAGACCATCTGTCCCTCTGCAGGCATGACATAGTCATAAGTTTGCTGATTATTCTTCCTTCTGCTCCAGAAAGATTGACTGCCCTTGAAGAACAAAGGCGGCGGGTTGCGAATATGAGTCAATACGAGAACAACGAGCCAGACAATAGTAATTGTAGGAAGCATCCAAGAACTCTGCTGGTATTCGGCGGATCGTGTTGCACTGTATCTTATCAATGCGACAAGACTTGTGCCGAGGCCTAGCAAAGTGAAGATGATGTGACGGGTAATGGCCCATTTGCTCCAGGGTTTAGTGCGTGAGATGACGGCGAGAGTTACCATGAGTATTAGGGAGATGCCAGCGGCGATGTAGGTATAGTTAAACTGCATCATAAGTTAGCAATTGAGGTTGAATATCAGAATGATGAGAAAGTGCTGACTTACGATAAGTTGGAAGCGAATCCACATTTTGTCGTTGAGTTCAGACTCGAAACCAGAATCTGTCTGCTGAATACCTTTACTCTTGTTCTCATCATCCACTTCCTTCGCAAGGTTGATCTTGAAGGTCTCAAGCAAAGCGTTCTCCATGGCACTCATAAGTCCAATCATAGCGTCGTAGAAGGTCTGATAGTCGTTCTGATCGGGATAATCCTTATCCTGCTCTGTATCATAGTACTTCATAAGTTGAGGCCAGAAGGTATCGTTGATGGTTGAAATATTCTTCAAAGCAGTGTCGGCTGTGTTCAAGGTCGTGATATACTGAGGTGTGTAAGTCTCGAAGAATTTGGTAACAACTTTCTGCAGCTCATCCACGATCATCTTAGTTGTTGCCTTGGCCATAAGACTAGTGTTATCCAGGAGTACTGAGCTCGAGTTAAGGTGCTTGAAGACATCGAAGATCTTGGTCCAGATGACGAGCTGGGTAAAACCCTGGATGAAGAGGCAGAGTGCAAGATGGAGAGGATAGTGAAGCAGGGTCCAGAGCTGCTGGCGGAACTTGGGCAGATAAGGATTCTTCATCCAGTCGAAGTAGATGAGGAAGACGGCATAAATGGTTGTCGCTGCGGCGGTGACAATGCCAATCGTTTGAGCATCTGCTAATGTGTTAGAAGAAGTCCTTACTCAAGGACATACAACTAGCAAAGACTTACTCCACGCATCAGGGCTTTCAACAATAGTGACAACGCTCTTTGAAATAGTAATGATTCCATCGCCAACAATGATGACAGTCAACAGGCCAATACGCTTCATCAAATGCGTCCCCTGGAAGCTCAAGACCGGGAAGATGTACGCAATGGCGAAAGTGAGGATTAGCTCTACACCGGCGAGGACGTACCACGTCATGAAGACGTTGCTATTATGATCGGTAAAACGGAACGTGATGCCGAGATAGATCATGGCGAGGGCAAAGTTCAAGCCAATTTGAAGCATCATTGGCAAGACCTGCTTCTTGTACTTTCGAACGTGCCAGAGGATACTTCCGTATTCGACGGCCAAGCATAGGCGGGAGACCATGAGGATGATGGCTAGAGGGTGTTAGGTATAAATTCAGGGGTAGGTTGGGGTTGAGGGACATACACATTGTTCTCATGGTCTTCATGTTTTGATCGTGTGGCGTGAACTTGGGAGCAACGACGGCGAATCCAACCATGACTCCGAGATGAACACCTCGAGCCGCACGTTCTATCTCGGTTAGTGTAAGTTATGGAGGTTTTCGAACTGGCATACCGAAAAGACTGTCTGTTACGAATCGAACATCGTACAGACTGGTTGTAAGCCATGTGATCCACAGAATACTATTCGTTTATTAGCCTCTTCATCATACTCAATCTCTTCCCATTCCTACCTGAAGTATCCAACATAGGCTTTGAAGCGCTCATGACTGTTAACACCTTGTGTTTCGCAGAAAACGGTGTAATTGGCGGCGAAGAAGAGATCGTAGAAAAGCTCGAGTAGACTTGCATCTTCGTGCTGTTTCCATGTCAACAGAAATTCCTCGAAAGATGCAACATGTTGGAGACCTTTTGAAACTGTGGGCAATCATCCTCGTATCTGTTGCCGAAGAGGCTCAGATCAGGGGCCGTAGGACTCCTGGTTGGAAGACCATCGATGCTAGAGTCAGAAGCTATAAGAGGACTTTTGATGAGAGCGAGCTTTTCGGCTGCTGTCGCGCTCTCGTGATGCTCTTCTCTCGGCATTTTTAGAGAAATAATCTTCCTTATTAAAAGTTAGCATTGTCGTTGCAGGTGTATCATAACATCACGTAGATGGAACAGCTCTTCACATCTAATACGGCCATTGTACACACCTTCAAATAGACTACTGACACCAAGATGACAATACAGTCTACAGTGATTTCCTAGGACAGGATGTAACCCTAGTTATGTAGACCTGACCGAGTATTCGGGTCTGAGGGGATGACAGGGATTCCAGGCCTTAATGATAGCTTCAATCGCTGATCAGAGCCACAAATGCATGGACTCATCCAGCTGAGTAGCTGCAATGCAACTTGATATTAACAAGGACCTTAGCCGTTGCAAGAACCACATTGAAATGGCTTGATAAGAGAATTTAACCAAGTACTACCAACTAGTGCAGACACAACATCGAACCGGACTCGGTTAGCTCACGCTGAAATGTCTCTGATTGAACAATTCCCACGGTAGAGTAGCATCAGAAGCTTACGTGAGAGAGCCAATCTTAGCCCCCAACAATATTAAGTGGTAACGAGCTGAAGACACGGCACATCTAAACGGCTCACTAATACGACTTGGACTCTATGATTCGCCAGGTGATCTGTTTTTAGAGACACCGTTAAAGCTTGGCGAGTATGGTGATCCACAAGGCTGGAGAGTGTCAGTGGAGACGTTACTATTAAATGGAACGGCTGAACCAAAGTTCCCGGGATGTTTCGTTTTGTATTGGTGGTCATTTTTCGTTCCTTTGCTCTTTTGGGGTATATTTTTCGTGGCGCTGACTGGTTGTAACACTGGTGATGGGTCCTTGATGGTTTTGCTTACCACGCAGAGGCCTTTTGCGTTCAGCCACACGTTATGTCTTTATGGTCTGATTGACATGCAATCATGCTTTTAAGCCTGGTTCTACCCGGGACGAACTCTGTTGATAGAGAACGTTCGGAGAAGCTTTAACTTCAAGGCGCAGTATAAATACCCTCCGTAATCGCAGAGATGAGAGGTTGAGGTGGTCTGATGCTTGAAATAAGGATGCTTGTCTCCTCGCGGTCAGATGCAGCCAAGTCGAGTCATTGGCGGCTGAAACATATAAATAGACCGAGTCACTGTATGCAAATGCAATGATCCTGGACTCGAATTACGGACCAACATCCATTGTCTTTGAAGAATGCAACCCAGTTAGGAAACTCAAACCCAAACGGTATCTGGTAGGGCTGGTAAAGTGGGCCATTGTGCATATTCTCCGAGTCTCGTGACTTGGCTCCATTCAAGCGCTTAATTCTCATGTCGACGCGTCAAACGCGTCTCCCCCTTGACTTGGCCTGGTAACTTAGCGCAACCCATAATGTCAATGGGCAACAAAACAAAGTTTGAGATGATGCAATGTTAGATTTCGATACGGAAACGATTTGACGGTATCATCTGTCAACCACTCGGCTACGATGGCCTCTCCTACCCCCGACGCAAGCGCTCGAAAGAGAAATCATTTTCAAGACGATCCTGTCCCAACTCCTGCGACTCTCAAGAAACGAAGACTCGAAGAACTTGCACAGGGATCACCCTCCACTCCGAAAGCTCTCAATGCCATCAACTCAGCATATCCTTCTGTCGTATCCAGTCAAAACGCCTGGCCACCGGTGAACAACAATCTTGTGGCGCCGAACTCCAACCCGCAACCTGCAGCTCCACCGTCGCAAGCACCGTCGCAAGCTTCATCGCAGGCACCATCACCAGCTTCCGCAACACCCAAGTTTCGACCAGCGATCAAACTATCTGCTTTGAAGGGAACAATATGGGACACTCAAGATGCGCACCGTCCTGCTCCTCTCCCCAAAAAGGTAGGCCCAGGGCGGCCGAGAACCACGACAGCCAAGAAACCACCGGGACCCAGAGGCAGACCACGAAAAAAGAAGGTGCAAGAAGGGGATGAAGAGAATCGCGAAGCCACTCAAGCGCAAGAATCCGCCGACGAGTTGGCCACAACAAATGGAAATCTGTCGGTATCGAAACCTACGCCAAAGGGAATTCTGACTCCTACGAAGAAAGGCAGACCGCGAGGACGACCACCGAAAAATGTTAGTTTTGGAGCGGGCCAAGATCGAAACGGAGAGGTTTTCTTCGAGGACCTGCCGAAGAAGGCCAAGACACCACGCAAGGCGGCCAACTCTGAAGCAGACGAGCTTGTGTGCGCAATTTGTATCAAGCCACACTCTCAACCTCCGAATCAAATCATTCTATGCGATATGTGCGATTTTGCGGTTCATCAAGAATGTTACGGAGTGCCTGATATCCCTGAAGGCGATTGGCTTTGCAAGTCATGTACTCAAGAGGACATACTTAAGACGCCAAAAAAGACTGCAGGTGTAGAGGTTCCAGCCATCAAGATTGCAGCGGATGTACCTGATATTGCCAATTTGGAACAACATGTGCGATCATTACAAAGAGTTCTTCTGGACCGATGTACTGGAAGAAGACGTTTACAGTTGCCTGGCCAGCTGGAGGCTGAGGAGAAGGTTTACCAACTTGTGGAACAAACGGTTGTTGCTGGTGAAGGAAATTCAATGCTCGTCATTGGAGCGAGAGGCTGTGGAAAGACTACAGTAAGCTGACTGTTCTCGGGATGAACCGAAAGCTAACTTTACATCTCAGTTATTAGAAAAGGTTATCTCGGATGTATCTCAGGAGCATAAGAACGACTTCCACGTCGTGAGGCTCAATGGCTTTATTCATACAGACGACAAGCTTGCGCTCAAAGAAATTTGGCGACAGCTGGGCAAGGAGATGCAGGTTGAAGATGACTTGGTGACCAGAGTGAGTCCTCCACACCTCTTGGATTTGCTTTACTGACAATGTAGACAAACTATGCCGACACCATGGCGTCGTTACTGGCTCTTCTGTCACATCCGTCTGAAATTATCGGTACAGACGAAGGTGTCACGTCGCAATCGATTGTGTTTATGATTGACGAATTCGACATGTTTGCATCCCACCCTCGACAAACACTATTGTACAACTTGTTTGATATTGCACAATCACGAAAGGCGCCCATCGCCGTAATTGGCTGTACGACTCGGCTGGATGTTGTTGAGATGTTGGAGAAGCGAGTCAAGAGTCGATTCAGTCATCGTTACATCTATCTGTCTCTACCCAGGAATCTTCCAGCCTACTGGCAGGTTTGCAGACAGGGTTTGATTGTGGATAGTGACGAGGCTGAAAAGGAGGGCATCAATACCTATCTTGAAGGACATGCCGAGTTCCAGCAGTATTGGAGCCAAAAGATAGAGGTAAGTCAAAGCACGTATATGTTGGCGTCGGATACTAACACCCAGCCCAGGGCCTATACAGAGAGCGATCCTTCCAGGACTTGCTTCAGTATCACTATTACACAACTAAGTCGACTTCGGCATTCCTTACCGAATGGATCTTGCCTCTGTCGGCTCTCTCAGCTAACGATGTCACACTCAAGATACCTTCTGTGCAAGGAGATATTGAATCCTTGACACCCCCTGATTCCAGGCTTCACCTGCTGTCTACACTGTCTGAGCTGGACCTGGGTCTCCTTATTGCTGCAGCGCGATTGGACATTGTCGCACACACGGACACGGTCAACCTGGCGATGGCGTACGATGAGTACAGTTCCTTGATGGGCAAACAGCGAGTGCACTCGGCAGCGGCAGGTATGCTCGCTGTAGGTGGAGGCATACGAGTCTGGAGCCGGGGCGTGGCTGGTATCGCATGGGAACGGTTGATCTCCCTAGGATTGCTTGTGCCAGCCGGTATTGGTGGCGCCCGTAACCTAGGACATGGTGGACTGGAGGGCAAGATGTGGAAAGTCGATGTCGCACTGGAGGAGATCCCAGCAGCGGTGAAGCTGAACGCGGTATTGGCAAGATGGTGTAGAGAGATTTAGTGGAGGAGGCGAGGCGAGGTGGTTGTTTGACGAGATGATGCCCTACTGGCGTGCTAGATACACATCTGTACTCCATTGATAGAGTCAGTATTAATGATGCCCCTGCATCTACATGTCTTTTGTAAAGGCATGTAAAGAATACATCGGCGATACTTTGTTAACATCCTTGGCTTGCTGAAGAGTTTTGCGACGGGAACAAGACGGCCTTGTAAGAGGACAATTGCCCCTTGAGGATCACGGTGAGTTATTCTGGGACCCGAGTTTATGGCACGCGGGAAAGACGGCACACTAGTGATGAACTGTAAGTATTTCGGTGAGGAGAAACAGTTTGAGGTTTCGAATATATTAGGAACCAGGCGAATAGGGGGTTCGAGGAGAAGATCTTTGAAGATCGAAGTCCATCTCAAGAATTCCAGAATATTTCCAGATTTATTCCATGTTACATCAAGACTCTGCTTCGGCAATGTTATGGACATGTTTGAAGGTATTGGGGGTTTTTTTCTTACCCCGTCATAGCATAATATGCTAAAATCTCACGGACCAAGCGAGGTGCTTCTTGGTGAGACGTGTCAAGTGACAGCGTGAATTTGTAATTGATTTGATGTTTTATGTTGATATTTGAAACAAGTGAAGCTATTTATATTCTCCGTGAATATTTAGATATTTTGATCAATTGCTGTTAACTTGATAACTCACTGAAGATGGCTGAGATGCATTAGATGAGATCAGATCAAGATGAGCTCGAGCTAGTGGCAAGCGAATACAACACTCCCGAGCTTCTTCGGCCAAGGAAGGTTCTATAGACTGGGCACCTGCTGAATTTTGTGGCTTACTGCCGTGCCTTCCACAGCTGGGGCTGAAGGATCGCATTTTCAGCAGGAGATGGGCAAGTAACGTAGTAGTGTCGTACCTGCCATGAGTTAACATGGGTTCCATTGGATTGGATTGGATACAATAAATTCTTGGTAAGAGTGAATCAACCTCCGTCATCATAAATCTTCAACAACAAATAAAGAGATCGCCAACGTTTTTCCCATAAACCAAAACTTGGAATCTCGGACCCTTTTTTTCGTTCCGTACATATTCTTCGATCATCATCACTCCTCAACTTCATCACCATTCATTCATTCATTCATTCATTACTCAGCATTTCCTCATCTCACTCTCACCCGGCCGGCAGTTAGTTATACTGCACCAACTAGAAAAAATACGTGTAATATTGTGTCGATCACAACCATCACGAAAACCATGACACGGTCAACATTCACAACTATCACACCCTTGCCCTTAGACATATCCCGAGAGCATGTAGTCGAGTTTCTCCACGATCATCTCGCCATGATCGACCTGAATCCCCTCATTATAGAACGCCACCAAATCCCTCCTCCGCCACACGCCCCGGACGATGAGAAGAAGTGTGTATGGTACTCCATGACGGATCGTATCGACTACCTCCCCGGTGGTCTTGTCTCCGGACAGGTCTCTTACACCGCGGCCTTCTTCGACTCTCCTGATGGTCTGCAGACGCACAGCTACGCTCCTATGGGGCTTGATCTCCGTGGGCGTTGGTCTGTAGGTGGCACGATGCCAGGAGAGCGCCCGCAGCCTGTTGAGCTTGGTCTCGGTGCGCCTACTACGGGTCTTTATCTCCGTGAGGATGTTGATATGCGCTGTAACATGCTCATGGTAGGGTTTGTCAAGAAGACTATTAAGAAGTCACACGGAACACTGGTTGAGAAGTTATCTCAGAAGACCTCCATGAAGATGGCAAGACACTCTATGCAAAACTTCGGAACTAGCTCCCCAGGAAGTCTTCAAACGCCAACCCCTACAGGGTCTGAATCCTCAGCAGTACCGCCTGTGGGACCCCTTCTCCCGCCTGCCGTGAGCAATGACCAGCGCGGGTTTGCCCCGGACCTATCTTCACCACCTGTCTATGGCCACGGCACACCCTCTTCAAATATGGGCAACATGCATCCGCAGAGAAGCGGCGGTCTGGTACCCCCTGGACAACCTCAGCGACTAGATTCGAATCAGTCAGGTCTTGGTCATGCAGGACCTGTCTACCGTGGCAACAGTAGGCCTGATCATTACACCGAGTTCTCAGATCAGAACCCCTACGATAGCTCACGGACTCCATACGATGAGCGGGAGCATTTTGCGGAACTAGACGATGGCACCCATAATCATCCTCGCCGCCACGAAGAAAAGTCAGGGCCCGCAGAGCTAGCTTGAGGCTTGCATGCAGCAGCATATCATCACCGATCTATGTTTCTTTTTGGTTTGGAGCAGGGGTGTTATTTCTAGTCTGGACTATTATGCTATCTTTTGAATATCATATCATATCAGGTACGAGCGGGGCACATTGACAATATACAGAATATCGGACGCAGGTTTAATGAGCATAATGATAAATTACGTTGAGTACTATACGTATTCATATTATACCAACGATAAAAATCATCTCCTAGCAATGCAAATGCCTTCCGAAGCTCCCCTTCTATCAAAAAGTCCCAAAAGAACAAAAGAAATCCCCTTCATTGTGATTTACCCAACCCCCGGAAACCCTTTTAGTGGGGGATGGGATTCACAAAGAAGATCACCAGCTCGAAGCCCCTGAACAGATGGTCTCTCTTCCTCATCCCTCCCTTGGTCAAGCCACACCCAAGCTTCTAGTGTCTGAGACATGAGTGTGGTGTTTGAACAAAGGGATGGGAGCAACAAGAGTGCCCACTCTTCAACGGTCTAAATGCGAGTGCATGATGGCCCAAAGAAGTCAAAAAAGGTTGTCATTAATACGTTGGTGATGAGAAGCGAAGTGAAGTTTTCGTTGAGCGCTCGTAATGAATCATAGCGTTGTGAGCCCGTGAAGATATGCCAGTCTCAGATGGAAGTTGGGAAGCTGACGAGCAGGTGCGGTTTGACTGATCGTTTTCTGAGACCGAAGATACTCTCGAGAGAGTTTGTTTTTGTCTTTGCGAGCTTACAGAGCAATGAGACCGAGCATGGCAGCCAGACCGAGACCGACCTGAACAGCACCAGCGCCGGCAACAACGACGGGAGTCTCGGGGACATCCGTACCCTTGGCAGGCTTGGTAGCCTCGGGAGCCTGAGGGCCGGTGGTCTTGGCGGTAACCACGGGGTGCTCGGGCTTGGAGGGGTGCTCAGGCTTGGGGGGAGCAGGGTGGTAGGGCTTGCCAGGGATCCAGGTAGGGCCAGCGGGGTGAGTCTCAGTGACGGTGCAAGGGCAGTCAGTGATGGTCAGAGTGCAAGGCTCAGTGACGACGTAGTCCTTGCCTCCAAGGTGGAAGCTGGTAGGACCAGCGCAGACAGTGGTGTAGACATCGTACACACTGGTGATGGTGACGGTGCCGTTCTTGACGATGGTAGGCTGAGGAGCGGGAGAGACAATGGCGGCCTCAACGGCGGCGAAGCCAGCAAGGGCAACGAGAGCGGCGGTGTTGAATGAGTACATCTTGAATGAATTGTTTGTTTGTTTTGGGACTTTAAAGAGTGAGTTCCGGAAGAGCGAATGCAAAGTTTTGCTGGAGTGAAGGACAGTGGTCAAGCGAGTGACTTGGGCGAGGTTTGTTAACGAGTGTGGGTTGCAAAGAACGAGAAAGATGCTGAGTGATGGAGAAGAAGAGACTGTTTCTGTGGTTGAAGAGGCTGCCTTATATCTATAAGTGAAGCCTCAGAGTCAGACACTGGCCAAGAAGAATCAATGTGTTTATCTCGGCTGCCCCCCTATGTCTGGACCCGACTCTCTCAGCTTGCGACAGTCTAGCCGCCACATGAAAGAATGGTAAACAGGCACGTCGTCATGCTGCTTCATTCCAGTGCGCAAGGGAGAGGGACAAGGAGATTAGGGCTCCGTAACTAGGGAGTTGTTGACCTTGGTTACATGATGCAGGGAGGGCATTTTGTGTAATTGCACTGAGTCTGAGTGAGTGAGATGAGTTGTTCTGAGACGTGCTATTTTGAGAGATTGTTGAGATGTTTTGTTTCTGTGTAATTTTGTTTTCTTTCTGGCTGGTTGAGTGTAAGTGGTTTTTGAGTCTTGATAGCGGGTGATATCTTGGCATCCAATAATATGATAGAATGCATATAACAACATAGTACACATAGTATCGTGTAAGTGGTCTTGGAAACAGTCTTGAAGATATTCATGTAAACAAACCACAAAATAAACAATTCAACTATAATCTTAATTCTATTCTAATAAATCCACATGATTCGAATCAAAGAAACGATGGTGCAAGAATCGGTCGATCTGGAAGCCGTCTTTTGTCTCTCTTCCTCCCTTACTTGACTCATCTGCCGTTGACCCCCACATACCTCAGACATGAGACTAACATAGACATTGTCAAGATTACTTCAGCTCGTGATAGACAATAACAACATAAAGCCTCTCTTTGATGCAATTTATGTCTAATGAGACAATTCTCGGGATGAGAGTGCCGAGGTATGAAGTGAGAACAAGCTTTTCTTTCACCAGCATATCACAACGATAAGAGAAAAGAGAAACAAGGGAAGAAAATAGAAGAGGTCATTTTGTCTTGTAGCTTAATCAAGGATATGCAGTCAACGTCTCTGCCCCTATTACATGCATCTTTTCTTATTCAACTTTAGATCGTGCATGCATGAGATTGTTAGACACGGCACATGCAATTGAATCGCGACATATCGCGTGCTCATAAGATAATTTAAGCGAGTGAAGCAATTCTTATCAGAAACAGATACAACATTCCCCTGAGGTATCCGAATTATGCCTACACATTCCTCAAGTTCTTTAGCCGATCTCTCAATATGGAGTGGCCTATTATACAAACTCTTCATCATCCATACCAGTCACAAGCACAAATTCATGATTAACAAGATATTCAGCTCATGCTTGACTCGATTTATTTCTTGATCTTTATTCCTCTCGACAAAATCCATCGAAGAGACTGCTCAGATTTCTTTTTTTTTCTATGTACAATTGTCTTTCAGCGCTGGCCCGCCGTGTAATGTTTGGTAAAATGTACCCGACTCCTTCCAATGCAATGCATTACTTTCGGTTCCTCGACGTGGCCCCGTTTGTAGCATGATAAATGTGTAGAGACAAGAAAAGTGAGAGAGAGAGAGAGAGATAAAGAAATAGAACCCCCCCTCCCAGAAGTAGAGAGAAAGAGAAGAACAAAACACAAACACAAAGCTAACATGAACATAGATGCCGTGAGTTTTGGTCGTCGAAAAACAAAAATCATTCTTCGCGCTGTACAAATCAATCAATCGATCGCACACTCAAGCCCACCCTATATCCATAGTCATGATTCGGAAACTCGGCCTTCGATCCCCAATGCAGCGCTTCTCGATTCAGCCAGGTATTCGACATAGGTAGGCAATAGTTATCACATCGCTGTGATTACTTCTACCATATGCTCCATACCTCGTTTGGCGATACCGAGATCCGAAACCCTCACCCATTCTCATATATGTCGCCGACATATCGGCGGCCGACCCGAGCGCGATCTAGTTCCCGTGAAAGATTTTTTTCATCGATGTCCATAATCGATGAGCAAAATGGGGACCGAAACTAGGAACCGGCCGAGTAAGATCGGAGGCATCCGAAGTTAAATAAGAGGCCGTTGTCGGATAGGTAGAGCCGGGTCGGGAGGCGGAGAGTTTGACATAGCCATACCCATAGCGCTAGCCTTTGGATAAGGTAGCCGAGGCGACAAATAAAATACAAAAGGCAAAAAAAAGAGAGAAAAAAAATAGCTCGAAAACCCAAATAACACCGATAATGCTTGGAAGGTATGGCTCTAGGTGGTATCGTTTTGATGGTGGCAAACGCTCGAATAGCCAAATCTGTCAAACGTCTCTATGCAAATGACTCGTTCGTTTAAAAATGAGGCACATGACGGATGTGAATGCTTGCTTGCTCGCTCGCGTCACTGTAGGTACTCCAGCAAGAAAGGGTTCTTGTTCTGGTCATGGCGGATCGCTTCTGGATTAGGCTTTCATTTCCCTTCCTTTCAAGCCTAGCCAGTAACTAGCCATTAGCCAAGTGCCAGCCCTTCCTAGTGCAGTCTGAGATCAGATCCCTTGGAGATCATCACTTTCGGTTTGATCTGCTTTGGCTTCGTTCAGGTCCTCGGCCGACCACGTCAAATTCGTAGTTTCGCAATTGCTGCTCGTACTTGGGGCTGCGAAGGAATTTTGGCACCGAGTCCTATTTTTGTTGTTAGCATTTGTGATCCTGCACATCATCGCTCTGATCGGCATGTCCGAGAACGGAATTGGAGGCTGGAGGGGCGGGTTTTAGTCAAAACTTACACTAGCCATCAGCTTGAACACTGCGTTTTGAGCGTCCTCAAACAGCGACGTCACCTCTTGCAGCGTGTCAATCATGGCCACATCCTGTCCAACAGCCTTGGTCATGCGAGTTGCCAGATTGTTGCGCAGTTGGTGGTCAATGTTGAGTTCGCACGGCGATCCTGGAGCCAGAAAGGCATTGTAGATACCATATGCCGAGGCCATAATCTCCTTGATTCCGTCCATGGCATTGGTGTTGGGCGACTTTTGAGCTGCTCTTGTGGCAGCCTTGCAGCTACGCACAAACTCGTCAACATCCTGATAGAAGGACAAGTTTTCTTCGCAGTGAGTATCCCGCAGTTGCTCACGAAAGAGGAGACGTAGCGCGGGATCGTTGAGAATCTTATCCAGTCTCTGGGTGTTAGAATCCCTAGTAATCCCGTTTCGCTGAGATGCGGCACCACCTTCGCTCTCCGAAGGTCGGCCCCGAGAGGCAGCACCACTGACAAGATCCTTGCCGCGTTGTGACAGCTGGTAAATGGCGTATTTGGTGGGTTGGAAAAGGTTGCATCCAGGGTTTTGTGACATATAAGCACGGTCCTGGGCCACGGGCTCCATCAATTCGTACTCGACGAACAGAGTAGCCACTTCAACAGTCTCTCGCTTGTCCACAATGGTTGAGCAATCCATAAGCCAGTCAGTGGCAGCCTTGCCAGTGAAGGTGTCACGATATGTCTTCCCATTGACCTTGCGCTCGGCGGCCATCTTGACTCCAGTAAGACCATCTCGGTAATCATGCAGCGAGTCCGAATCGGCGGCGTTAACGGTAGTCTTGATGTTGCGGCCTTCGGAGCCAGCAAACCGGCGGAAGATGACCTCGATTGTTCCTTGGTCGTGGAGAAGCTTGTCAGTCTGTGGATCTCGCTCGAGCAGCACCAGTTGGGTGGAAGCGAGGTTAGCCAATTCCGACACTTGCTTCTGTTGGATGCCGTTTCTAGCGCAGAATCTATCCAGAACAGTGATACCCTTGGGAGTTAATTGCCAAACAGAGCCCTTCATCGTATAAACCTGCTGATATTTGCCGTCTGCTGATTCGATAAAGCGAGCCTCCAGAAAGCGTTGACAGATAGAACGGGCCATGTCCTTAGCCATAGAGAACGTTGTGGTTGTCGTGGTTGTAACGATACGAGAAGGATCCTTAGGGTCTGGCATACGGTTGGATTGAGAGAACTTTAGGGAGCCCAGGTTGTTGATGGCATCCTCGGACAGAAAAGTGTACTCAACCTTGGTCAATCGGACACGGTGAGCTGAGAGCGGCAGTAAACTGACGACAAGAGTTGAGAAAAGATCCTTGAAATCCTGTTTGTACAACTGTCAGTAAGTGCTTTGGGAAACAGGGTTTCAATGATACGCAATGGCGCAGAGGCTACGCGTGTGCGCGCACGAGGTAAAACGGCGCCATAAAGACACACCAAACAATGTTGGGTAGGACAACAGTGCGTACCTTTGTGAATGGACGGTCATCGTCCGTCATGCGCAACAAGCGCGAGGATGTCTGATGCATCTTGTTTGCTGTGGAGGACTTGATGGGGGGCGGGAGGTTCGGGTCTGTGGACGTGTAAGGCTGGGACGGCGGGTTGTTCGCCTGCAGAGTCTGGGGAGCGACCTTGCTGTCCAAATATGCACCAGAGGAAAGCGATTGGTTTGAGGAACTTCGTAGACGGTGGTACTTGTCCGGGCTGGAGGGTTCCGACGAGGGCGAGGAGCTTGTGAGCAGAGAGAGTCTTGAAAGAGCACCAGAAGACTGTCGAGGTCGAATAGCTGGCTCTGAGATAGCAGCAATGGCGTTTTGTGTGCGGTCAAAAGCTGAAGCGGCCAGGGCAAAGAGACTTGTCGAAGAACGGTTGTTCAATCTCGAAACTGAGGAGGCCGTATGGCGATGATGGCTATGCTGCGGATGATAAGGGACGTAGACTGGCGGGTTTGTAGTATTATTTGAAGCTGAAGTATTACCGGAGGTGGCGGAGGAGTTGATGTGTGCTGGTGGTAGTGGAAGAGGTAGAGGTGTAGGAAGCGGCGAACGATCCGAAATAGAAGAGCGTGGTGTGTTCGTCGTTGTATCCTGGTCCTGGTCGTGGTCTAGTGTGAGTGGTGTATCAGAAGGAGAGGCAGAGT